GTCCACACCCTCAACTCCTGTCCTCACCCTCAGCCCCTGTCCAAACCGTCAGCCCCTGTCCTGACCCTCAGCTCCGGTCTCACCTTCAGCTCCTGTCCACACCCCCAGCTCCTTTCCCCACCCTCAGCCCCTGTCCACACCCTCAGTTCATGTCCTCTTCTTCAGCTCCTGTCCTCACCTTTGGCTCCTTTCCTCACCCTCAACCCCTGTCCTCACCTTCAGCTCCTGTCCTCACCTTCAGCTCCTTTCTTCACCCTCAGCTGCTGTCCTCACCTTCAGCTCCTGTCCACACCCTCAGCCCCTGTCCTCACCTTCAGCTCCTGTCCACGCCCTCAGCCCCTGTCCTCACCTTCAGCTCCTTTCTTCACCCTCAGCTCCTTTCCTCACCTTCAGCTCCTGTCCTCATCCTCAGCTCCTGTCCTCACCTTCGGCTCCTGTCCTCATCTTAAGCTTCTGTCCTCATCCTCACCTCCTGTCCACACCTTTAGCTTCTGTCCTCACCTTCAGCTCCTGTCCTCATCTTCATCTCCTGTCTTCACCTCAACCTCCTGGCTTCACCTTCAACTCTTGTCCTCACCTTCAGCTCCTGTCCTCACCTTCACCATCTGTAATCACCTTAATCTCCTGTCCTCACCATCAGCTCCTGTCCTCACCTTCAGCTCCTGTCCTCACCCTCAGCTCCTGTCCTCCACCACAACTCCTGTCCTCATCTTCAGCTCCTGTCCTCACCCTCAGCTCCTGTCCTCGCCTTCAGCTCCTGTCCTCATCTTCAGCTCCTGTTCTCACTCTCAGCTCCTGTCCTCACCTTTAGTTCCTGTCCTCATCTTCAGCTCCTGTCCTCACCTTCAGCTCCTGTCCTCACCTTCAGCTCCTGTCTTCACCCTCAGCTCCTGTCCTCGCCTTCAGCTCCCGTCCTCAGTAAAGAACAGCTTCGTGTTTGGAGCGTCCACCTCACTGCAGACGTCCATTCCATGTCTAAGTGTTGCAATTTGGTCATGAAGCTCTTTAGAAACAAATGGCTTCACTAGAATTTAATAATAAATACCTTGTCCTTGGGTGTCATGAAAGGCGCTTTTTAAATAAAATGAGTATTATTATTATTATTACCTTCAAAAGACAGACATTAATATGTAATCTCTCATCTCTAATCTACTGCTGTTCAATATTTATCTCCAGTTTAGCTAATCAAACGTGAGTTTTTCAGAAGTTCAGAGAATAAAGTTTAAAGTTCTCTGCAGGATCAGAACAACAGGAACCTTGTTAGAGCTCTATGTGTCCACAGTTGATGGTTCTGGTCCTGTTTGGTTCTGCAGGTCCACAGTTGATGGTTCAGGTCCTGTTTGGTTTTGTATGTCCACAGTCTCAGCAGAGTCCAAGTCTCTCATCTGAGCGAGATCTGTTGGTCTGGATCCCTAAATCAAGATTCTTGGTCTGGACCTGAAGCTTTTGTCTCCTGGATCTGTTACTGATGGGTTCAAGCTGGATTAAGAGTCTGCTGGTCTTGATGTTGGACCTTTTGATCTGAACCTGCAGTGTCAATTGGTTGGTTCTGATTCTGTCCCTTTGGACTGAAGGACTCTGGAGTTTTAAGGCTGAACAGCCCTCTGATTTGTCGATTGATCCTCGGGTCTAACTAGACCTTTTAAATGGGACCCTCTGGACCAGGTTTGTCCATTCATGCCCTGGTTTGTCCCTGACGGGCGGAGCCTTTCATCTCCTCAGGTGTCCTGCAATAGTCTGGGTGGTGTCTTCATGTTTGATCGGAGGCGGCAGCAGGTTCATGTAAGTGGAGATCAGCTGCTGCAGCAGTGAAGCTTGTTATGAGCCAACAGAAGGTCATTCTGGCTCTTCTCGTCCTTCAGGATCTTAGGCAGAAACCTTTGGCTCGTCTTCGGCTCATGTTGTGAGCCAACAAGAGATCACTCTGACTCTTCTCTTCCTTCAGGACCTTAGACAGAAACCTTTGGCTCGTCTTCCGCTCGTGTTGTTGTGAGACAACAAGAGATCCTTCCAACTCTTCTCATCCTTCGGGATCTTTGACAGAAACCTTTGGCTCGCCTTCGACTTGTGCTTTATCATGTTAATCAGTGTCAGCGTAACAGATACACTCTCAGTTTTAAAACTGCAGAGTTTGTTAAAGGAAAGCCTTCAGTTTAATAACAGAGCAGATGACTGCTGCAGATGACTGCTGCAGCTGCACTACCGATAAAAGCTGTAATTATCCTGCAGAGAGGAGCGCAGCCGAGACCCACAACCAGCAGCCGAGGACTACAGACCAGCAGCCGAGGACCACAAACTAGCAGCCGAGGACCACAAACTAGCAG